GATGGCTGTGCTGCGCGCGCGTGTGTGTGTGTGTGTGTGTGTGTGTGTGTGTGTCCGTCCGTCCCCATGCACCGTGTGTGTGTGTGTGTGGTGTGGTGTGTGCGCGCACGCATGTGCGTCTGTCCCCGTCCGGGCTGCCTGGGCAGTGCTGGCTGAGGTGCGTGCGTTGGGGCTGCTTCTGTGAGTCCTGTCTGTGGTTACTCACAATGCTGAGAACGTAGACCAGCTGATTTTCAAGTCCTTTTAATGGACGTTACCTAAAGTTTTTACTAAAGACCTAAAGGGTAAGGATGGATTTAGCCAACTGTGTATATTTATGTGCATGAAAAACATTTTCTACCCATGACCTTGGCTCCCTGTTAACTAGATTATGGCCTTTTATTGTGCATGTAGACTATGTGAAAGGGTTTGGAGGAAAATTTGGTGTGCAGACAGACAGACAAGACAAATGTGCCCTTGGCTGGGATCACCAGGAGAAATTGCAGCTGCATGAATCCCAAAAAGGTACATTCCCTTGACCTCATGCTCACGGCCACCTCGGAAGTTTGCTTTTGTTCCTTCCTGGGTCAGTGGATGTGTTTTGTCTTTGCTATATTTCTGTCGCAGTCTTGTTTTGTCTTCACTGTTTGAAGTTGTCCTGTGCCTCCCATGGTCTCAAAGACTCTTCAGCTAGGGTAGTTGTCTCCTCCCATGTCACAGTGGAGCTGAGGCTGCAGGGGACTGGTTTGACCCTGTCTAGCAAACACAGGTCACTCCTGCTGCACTTGTGGGGACCCCCTTGTCTTTTGCCCTCGGGACAGTACAAAAGCAGCAGTGTTCCTAGTCCACAGGCTCTCGTTCATAAAGTGGGCTACGGTTTGTGGCAGGAGACACTTCCTTCCTAACCGCCAGTATTCTCCCATGAGAACAGGAACCATGTCCCTGGGAAAAGGAGTCAGAGGGGACTGAAAACATTTCTGTGTGGCCCAGACCTAAACCAGGGGTCAGACTGCATGGTGGGAGGTGGGGTCAGTGGTGTGGCTGCAAGTCCTTGGTGTCTGACGTGTCCCACTCCACACACACACACACACAGGCGTGCTCTCTTGTCAGCAGCGTGGGTAGGACCCCAGAAATAACCCTCCAAGCATGGAGTGGCTTTACTGAATCATTTAAGATATAGTTCCTAGCCTGTTTCCAGATCTCGGCTGAAGCGTCTGATTTTGAATTTGTTTTTTTTTTAAACCTTTCAAGCTAGCCTCTGGCTGTGGGATGTGGAGTGAGGTCTCTCAGGCCCTGCGCCTGGCAGAGCTCTGGCTTTCTCAAAATTATGTGTTTGACTGCTGTTCAGGCTTGCGTGATTCTAACACAGTTGTGTTTCCTGTCTTGGTTCTTTCCACTGTTACTTGTGGATTTTCAGATTATAAGGCTGGTTTCGGAGGCAAATTTGGTGTTCAGTCCGAGAGGCAGGACTCCTCTGCTGTGGGGTTTGATTACAAGGAGAAACTGGCCAAGCACGAGTCCCAGCAAGGCACAGAGCCCACCAACCCCTTCCCTCCTGCTTTTGGTGCAGCCACTTCTAGCACAGGCTCCAGGGTTCACCACCGGTGCCCACCACACCGTCCTCCCCACCACCGCTGGGAGCTGTTGGGCGGCGGAGCATGTCAAACCCAGGCTTAAGCTAGAGCCATATTGGTTTGGGACAACACCCCTCTCTTTCCCCATTCACTTTGCCCCCAGTGACCTTTAGGGTTTGTGTTTGCAGGATGGGGTGGTTAGTTTGCAGGTTACGTCCTTCTAACCACATAGCATGTCTAGTGTCCAGCTTTGGGTATCTTGGGTATCTCTGGTCTCCCAGTAGCGCTGTGCGCAAGCTCGTTCTGCTGTTGACCATAACTGCTGGGGGTAACTGAGTCGGGCCCTGCTGCCTCCAACGTGAGGACAGAGGGTTTGGGCCAGCCACACCACTCACCTTTTGACCAGAGGCATGGCCACTGCGAGGCGAGGGCTGTGAAACAGGCATGTTCTGTGTGGTCTCTGTGTCTCATTTGTGGTGGTGGTTTTTGGCCAGGGGTGGGAGGTTTTTTCTTTTGTTTTGGTTTTTGTGATGACACCATACACGTGTAACATCTCTGCACAGAGCCACACCATACGTGCACAAAGCTGAAAACAGACATGTCCAGGGCTGTGTGTCTGGGTTTCAATGCCTGTGCACTTTTCCTCAGATCAGTTATCTCATTCCCTTCAAAATTGGACTTGGCTATTTGAACCTGGACACACCATTGGAAAAATACTAATTCCCTAACCTTGCAGGGCAAATTTCAGGCTTTCAGCCTTCATGTCAGGAGCACACGGCAGTGTCAGGCGTGGGAAGGTAGACATGTGCTTCCTGTTGGTCCAGCAGGCTGCGTGGAGATGGCCCTCGGGTTTCCGTGGCGTCAGTGCTGCATGACAGTGTGACTTTCATGTGGGTCTGTGTCGCTGCAACAGAAGCATGGGGCTGGTGGAATTTCCACATGGAATTTTTTTTCTCTTTTAAAAAGCAAGAGAACAAACTGCGATCGGGCCTCTTTTTAGTGCTCAGTACAGCAGGAGCACAGGAAAGAGATGAGAGCAAACCACCGTTGCTGGTGCAGAAGACTGTGCTATTGAAGTGGCGCATTGCAAAGGCCTGTCCCGTGCCCTCTGTCCTTGGCCACTTCCCGTCAGCCTGCTGCCCGCCACCCCCTCTGTCCCTCAGGAGAATGCCGAAAGCATGCCACGGCCTCTGTCCCGCTTCTCACCTGCCTGTGTACTGAACACCGTGGTTCCAGACAGAGCTTGCCTTGCAAGTAGAGATCTGTCACTGGGCAGTTCTCGTTTCTTTCTTTCTGGGTGCATTGTCCTGGGCTGTTTCCAGATGTGTCTGCATGCATCTGCTCTTGCCCCTGTCTGTCCTTGATCTCTACTCAGTGTTGTGTTTTGCCACATTTTCAGACTATTCCAAAGGATTTGGTGGGAAATATGGCGTGCAGAAGGATCGGATGGATAAGGTAAATATTTTAAACCTAGGTTTGGTATTTTCTGCTAATGTGGGGAGTTGATGGAGCTCTTGAGGGGTCAGCCCACTGATTCATGGGTGTTCACAGGTGGACAGGGGCTCATGGTCCTAGAGGCACACCTGGTGGGCTCAGGGGCACGTTGCCGTGGTGGTGATGGCGATAGCTATCTCCAACAGTCCTGTACTCAGCAGTGCCTTGAGACAGGTGCTGTCACCATCAGGGTGTCTGAGGCCTGGCAGGCCCAGTGCTTGGTCACAACCCAGTGGTGAGTGGCTGGGACACCACTGGAACCCAGCGGTTTAACTTGAGGGCCTCTAGGGACATGTGGCCATTTGAGCTTAAATTGCTAATATGAAGTCAAATTGGAAATTGAGTTTTCTGGTCACACTGGCCACACTGGAAGAGCTCAGTAGCTATGATAGTCGTGTGTGGTTGGTGGCTGCATCCGGAAAGAGCAGGTCCAGACCACGTGTGTCACTGAGGGAGACTGGCAGGACAGCCAGTCTGGGGTCTGTGTCTTCACCACTGACAGGTCGTCTTGGCTGCATCCGGAAAGAGCAGGTCCAGACCACGTGTGTCACTGAGGGAGACTGGCAGGACATCCAGTCTGGGGTCTGTGTCTTCACCACTGACAGGTCGTCTTGTGGAAATAGGTTCTGCTCTTTCACCAGGAAGTCCTTTTGGTTGTTGTCAGGGCCTCCATGTGTCCATCTTCAGCATGTGAGTTGACTTTTCTAGTCCATGGTCTAGTTATATCAACAGCGAGAGAGTCCTTTGAGACTGTGCGTGGGGTGATCCAGACTGGCCAGGCAGGCGCTGGGTCATCTGCCCATGAGGTGAGCCACGCAGGATGTGAGCCCCACCCTGCCTGTTGCTGTGCCCGCCCCGTGGTTGCGGGTGGCAGGCTGGTCCTCACGCAGCTCTGCTCCCGTAGGGCTCCCAACTGACCACACAGACTGCGCTACCCAGGGGACTCCTCCATGTGGCCAGGGCTCAAGGGGCCCTACAGAGGTGATAGTCTGGGCTAATTTTAAAGGGTGGGGTCAGGAGACTGCAAAGTAGAGGATGTGGCATGTGCATGGGGACAAAGTCACCACAGGGACTGGAGAAGAGCCACATGGGGGGGTGGGGGCGGGGGAGGCCTACATACCACTTAAGGACTTACTCTTCTTCGATGTAC